TTTAAGAAGTGGTGTATGTGAAATTCCAAACAAGCTGTGCAAGGTCTGTGTCAGTACAGTGCAATGTGCTAGAAGCATACAGCTCCTGTTGGAGCCTCCTGTCAATGGCTGCTTTATAAGGACCTATCTTTCTGATGAAAAGGGGTAAAACAGTAGTCTTAATGGCAGCTGTGACAGTTCCATAGCACACTGTCATGTTTTTGATGTAATAGAGGACTTGAAATTAAAATATTGAACTGTGTCTTTAGGGCCTTGTAAGGTGCTTGAGGCATTTCATCTTGGCACGTAAGCATCATGATGCAGTATGTATACATTTTAGGTTCCAGTTTTTATTGGGCAAACTTGGTACTTAAGTGAAAAGTGGTTTCTCTGTGTTGCTGCATACAGTTCATACAACATTGTCATTGAATCTCCAAGACAAGGAGCTTTCCTGAAGTTAAGTGTTACAAATGTGTCTGCCAGAATAAATATAAAGCAAGTGTTCTTTCTGTTAAAACTGAGAAGTCCCAGCTAAATACTTTTTACTATGGAAGATACTTGGAGGCCTTTAGGCAGATGCCTTAGGAATAACTGAAGTATTTGTGACCTCTACTTCTCCAGAGGACAGTTTTAACACCAAAGGCCTTAGAGAAAGAAAGGTGGGAGTGTTGAAGGTGGACAGGTAAAGGCTGTGAGTTGTGATTTCTATTCAGTTAAAAACTTGTTTGCTAAAGGCATTTGAATTCACTTAACTTCGAAGTATTCTGCAAGTACTTCTGAAGGTTCTGAAGCTTCAGAGCTTTTACCTTAAGACATGACTTCAGCTGGAAAATCAGCTAGTGCACTTCTGAAGGCAGCTGGTATATAGCTGAGTTAGGAGGAAAAAGATGGTCCAGTAGTGGTAGCCTGACAGCTGTTCTGGATGTCCTGCACAGAAGTGAAAAGGAAGAAAACCATCCAGCCCTCAGAGGTTTAGCATACCTGAGCAGGCGGCTGAATGTGTATCACCAGAATGAGGTGTCACTAGCAGATACAATAGGGCTACAGTAAAGGTTTATGGCTGGGAAACCTGTTATTTGAACAAGTTCATGAAAGACATTTAAGGATACTGAGTTTAACCATTGGTACCCAAAGTGTGGGAAGGGGCGTGTGATGTGTACGTACTTTCACTCTTTTGTTCTTCTGTGTGTATTCTTTATACCAACATTGGTATTAGTGAATTAAAGCATGACTGGTGAAGTTAATTGCATCACTGCTGAACCCTGTATGAAAGTAACCCAGTAAGGCTTTTGTTGTTTTACTTGGAATGTGACTTGCAGTTGAATGTGTTCCGGGAAGGTAAGAAGACTTCCAAGTGAGGGCAGAACCATGGAGTTGTTGCAAGGGTAGCCGTGGGGTGAGCTTGCTAACCAGTTTAGCTTTGCTTCACTTTCAGATGAGTGTTCTGCAGTACCTTGGAAACCAAAAATCGATGCTCAAATGATGAGTAGTACTGAGCGCAAGACACCTGTCAGACAATGGTGAACACAATGTAGGAAAAATAATTGCAGGAAAACTTTCTTTTCTCTAATTTGTTGCTCTTAAAATATCACTGAATCTTCAGGAAATAGGAGAACTGAGTGTTAGTTGTACTCTTCTAGCTCTTAAAAGCATGTGTCTGTTTGTTGCTAAAAGGTAGACTTCTGCCTCAATTTTCTTCCACTTTAGTTGCAGTCTGTTACTTTTGTGGCTAGGTAATCAGCTCTGGTATAGCTGCTCTGTCCTGTAATTTCTAAGTCCAGTTACAAAGTGAGACATGTTAACTGCATCACAAGGAGACAGCAAATTCATCTTCGATATTAAAAAAAATGAGGGAGATGAACATGGGAAAGCAGGGTTATCCTACACAGCCCATCAACTCTACATTATTGATGGATCTGAGACACCCTGTGGAAGTTGCCATGGTCACTTCTATTTCTCCAAGTAATCAGATGTAATTAGATGACAAAAGTCTACAAGCAACCCAAGGACTTCACCTTTATTTAATCTTCATGGGCAGAAGGTGGAAGTGATTTAGCTAAAGTAGATAGAAGCTGATGTATGGCCTGAAACTGAATTGCTGTAGTGTTTGTGTCGACTTAACTGGATGATTGAGCTAGGCGGCATCTACTGTTATGTCTCTGAACTCCCTGAGGTATCTGGAAGGTGTTCCTGTTTTTCAGAGGTAGGGATGGAATGGGGAGTGTGTTGGGAAGCAATAGGGAGAATTTTGAAGAAACCAGATATGGTTTATAATGGCTTATAAATTCAGGAAGACTGGATTATTACTGTAAGTTTTCGTGTTCTCTGGTAGAATTTATATCTTGAAGATAATACAACTGTTATATTGCTTCACATCAGAGACAACAAATGGATATTAAGCAATAATTCACTGAAAAGAAGCTTGGTGTGGAAAATCACTGGTAGAAAAAGCTTATGTATCACATTTATTTATTCAATTCTTAAGGATTTAAAAAACAGTAATCAAGAGGTATGTATCCTTAAGTATTTTAATTGAGATCAGAACTGTTCTTTCAAAGTGAATTTGGCTGTGTTTTCGTTTGTGTTTTTGAAACTAGTCTTGAGCTGTGTGGGTTGGATTCTTCTTGAATGAACTGGAAGGTGCATGCCAGGACAGACCAGATACAGTCCAGCCACAAATAGGCTTTTGGTTTGTGTGTCCAAACTAGAGCTTGACAAAAGAGCAAAAGCTCTTTTGAAATATATGTAGTATAGGTGCTAGATTCTCACATTATCTTTACAGATTGACTTACTGATCTGTACTGCTTGCTAATGAAGTATTTAGTAAAGGTGGCATCCATGGGGATGGTGATACAGGTATGAAAAAGAGGCAGAGCTTACACAGAAAGTATGGTATGAAACTCGGATCATAGACTGAGAAGAACTCGGATTTTGTGAGGGGATTACACATAGAGGGTGAGCTTGTTCTGAAAATATTTAATTGTCCTGAGTACAGCTGAGAAATGTAGAGAGTAAATTGACCAGTTTAAAGATGTGTCTCCAGCTTGCAGAGCAACACAGTATACTTGAGAATTCAAGAGAATGAAATGTTATGTCAAGTTTATTATTTTTGTTCAGCTTGAAGTAGGAGTTACCCTAACAAGAGCATTGCTATGTTCAAATCCTTTGTATGTTTAGGTGTTTGGGTTTTTTTTTTTTTGGTATCTGCTACATGTTTCTCAAGAATTAAACTAGGCGAAAATAGGGATTCTTTCAGGATTGAATGACAGGGATGTGTTTGGAGCCATGGAAGACTTTGAAAGGTCCATGCTAGTGCCAGGTTGCTGTGGGGACTTCCTTTTTCTTTAAAACCAGTGACTGTATGGCCTGTTCTGGTTCTGGGACTTAAAATTATGCAGAGACCCAAGTAACCATCTGATGAATGTCTGAGAGAGAGAGAATTAAGCTACCTATGTGACATGTCTGTCAGTTTTTGAAATGTCAGTCACTGCGTTTGAACTAGCACCTCCTAGGTATGAAATTGTGCATTCTTTAGGTGTTGACCTGTCCAGTCTTGTTGAGCCAAGTTGCTTGTGTGTACCCAGGAGTTCTTGAAAATCCCATGGTAGTAACAGTTGCAGATTTGGACAAGCTGTCCTGACTTAGGTTACAGTTGTCTTATTTTTCTCATTTTTGTTTGTTATTTTCTTGTGTGTTGAAACTAATTCCTGTGGACCAAACTGAATTTTTCTCAAGAGCACTGTATTAATCTTTTATCTGATCATGGCTGTATTTGCTATAGATTTAAATACAGAATTCTTTCTCTTCATTCTGCCTGCTTCTTTTCCAGTTACTGGGGTTAAAAACAGCCATGACAACAGCTTCCTTTAGGTATTAACAGACAGGGAATGTCTTCAGTAAACTTGGTAGAATCTAATATTGTTTCATTGTTATTTCCATTTACGATTTTCTGTCCTTTTGCCAAACTAATAGTGTAGTCTAGCCAATTCGTAACTGAGCTTGAAGAAACCGGGGAAGAATCAAAACCTAGGCTAATACTGTTGGGCAGGGCTGTCTGCCAGGGTGGATCACCAGGTGTATGCCCTGTACCAGTCATGAAGGAGTTGGAAAGATGTGGGCTTTATTTGACTGTCATGTGCTTACACCCGACACTTGGGCTAGTTACAGGGCTGCCAGGTGGAAAAAAACTTGGATCTAAGCCTAAAATGCAGTCTTTGTAGAATTTGAAGGGTGGGGGGTGGTATAAGGAGCAGTCACTGCTTAATGGCTGGGGTAGGCCTATGATTCTTTAGAGACAGGAAACTTGTGAAGTATCTGGGGATCCAGCCCCTTTGAAGGGGAAGCTTCAACAGAACAAATGAGTTGGTTGTGGTCTGTTGTGGTTTTTGTGTGTTTTTTTTTTTGTTTGTTTGTTTGTTTGTTTTGGATTTTTTTTTTGTTGTTGTTGTTGCTTTTTGGTGTTTTTTTTTTTTTCCTGAGAAACAGAAGTATCTTGAGAAAAAAAGTGTCTAGAGGTTCCAGAATAAAAAGACCACCTCTTCTCAACTTACGTTAAAAGTGAAAATGAATTTGCAATCCTGCATGCAAAGGCTAAAAACTGTAAGTATTACCCTGGTGGATGTTCTGTGTGTTTTTGAAACCCAGCAACACCTATAAAGATGTTACTGAGTACATCTGAGCTTGATTAACTTGGTCTTGCTAAACTTGGTCAAAACGCAGCCTCAGAGGACACAATGACCTGAGGATGTGAAGGGTAAAGGGACAGTAAGTGAGGCTGGAGCTGTAGTTTGTGACCCTTTTGTCAGGAAGGATTTGTACTGTTGGTTTGGCTGAAGGTCAAGCACCAATCAGTCTTTTGTAACTGAGATTTCAGTAGCAAACAAGACTCGAAGCTGAGACTAAGTATACTCCAAAACATTCAGGTATTTTTGTTTTATTATAGTGGTAGCTGTGCTTCTGTCAAATTTTATCAATGTAAGGCTCAAACCACAACAGTTACTGTGAAGAAGATAGCGAATTCTCTAGAAACTTGATAAAACATCATATTGATACTGTATTTTGGTTGAAAGATGGAAACTAGTTGTGCAAATCCCCTGCCCTACTATCTCATAGTAGGGAGGAGAGTGTTCTGACTTGCTTGTAGTTTATATTTTGTTTAGAGCTCTCAGGGGCCTTGGAGTTGTATCCTCTTGCAAAACAGGAACAGTTCTATCAGTTCATCCGTGAAATGTACATCTGTGCTGCAGGTACTTTTTTTTTTCTTCTCCAAGAGTAGCCAGTCTTTAAATGCTATTTTGCATAAGCAAGGAGGTACGATCAGTGTTTGACACCACAGTAGCTAATGCTTACTGAAGCAGATGATTGGAGCCCGTGTTTTAGTTTCTTACAAGGTCATTTACCCTTGCAGAGTTGGGATAATACTATTTAGCCCTATGCTTCTTGTTTCATTGTTACAGTAAGGTCTAGACTATGTCGTGTGTGGTGTGGGTGAAATAACAATTCCAGATGCCTCGTTTCAGGAAGGAAATGTCTGGGGAAAAGGATAGGGAGAGATGATGAAAAAAAGAAAGAGTAAACTGAACATGGTGATTGAATGGGGTGATGCTGCAGTGAAAATCCGTGCCTATTTATGTCATCTTAAGTCACCAAGGGGGATATTTTCATGAAAGGCCCCTTCTGCTTTTTTATGTGGCACTGGGAACTTGTGTATTCCCAGTGTTGTACTCTCTGGGTTCTTTGCTCAGTGCACAGGTGTAGAAATCTGGAGGTGAAGTTGTATAGCTCCAGTGAGTGGCTGCTCCTCTCAGATTCAGGTCTGTGCTAGGGGCTGTCTCTCTCAAATAACCCAGTGCAACCCAAGGGAGGCTCAGTGCCTTCATTTGTGTCAGAGCTCATCCACTTGTCTGTAAGATTTCTGTGCTCTTGCACAGAGGGAAGGTTCTAATAAGCTGTAGTGACAAACCTAACATTACGGTACTTACGTAGGTCTTCCTTTCTGTAGCCTGTTGATTGGAACCCGTTTGTTGATTAGGCTAAAAGTGACACTGCTTCTTATTGGTCGTGTTCATTCTTTTTTCTTTACAGTAATTTCTGCAAAAGGACTGAACTTAATTTTTAGACCAAAAACTACCCCATAATTTGTGTCTGGATCTCAGTTTAGCGAGAACACTTGGGTTTATGCTTAATGGAATTAATCAGCTTCTTGCTGCCTTTTTTGTAGTTAGAGAGACTTCATTTGATTCTTAATATTGTGGTTTTTAATCGTTTAACAGCTCACCAGTGTCCACAAAATTGCTTCCACTTTTATTCACAGTAGCGCAAACAACATGCATTTGCTTTTCCAGCTGTGTCATAGAAACATTCAAGTTTTGAATCAAAAGATGTGAAGTAAATGGGAGGCATGGTACAGTTCACTTTTCACTCTGAGACACCTCTTTGGATTGCATCTCGGTCTCCCTGGAGACTCCAGTTGTCATTAAGTCATAAGCTAGCCTAGGGCCTTCCTCTGTTAATTCTGTGCAGACAGAATGGAATTTCAGCTTCGTCGCCAAACAAGATGCATCGTGACTGTAGTCCAGTGTTTAGGATGCTTATTTATATCCAGTAAAGCTTAGCTTAGAGAGTTGTGGAAAAGAATGCCATCCTGGTCCCAGAGGAGATGTTGAACACCAGCATGAGGGTCAGGCCATTTTGCAGTGGAAGCTGGGAAGAACAGGAAGGTAGAGTTATATCCCTTGACTTTAAACTTAAGTCCTCTGTCCCTTAGCAAAGGCATATGGGATATGATGTGCTGACTACTTTAAACGCAAAATGTAGGATGCAAGGGTAGACATTTGGTAACAATTAGAATTTTTCTTCAGACTGCTTTTCTTAATTAAAAGAAGAAAAAGTAGTTTTATAAGTGTTGTGATCTTGTTGGGGGGAATGTCTGTCCTCTTTGAAAAAATACGGGTAAACATAGCTTTCTGGAGATAACTGCATAAAATAAATGGGTTCCTTGCACATCAAAGAGTTGAAGGGTAGGTGTGGTGTCCTGTCTGGGTTTTTTGGACATAGGTGAGCTACATGTCTGTGTTATCTTTAGTATTGTTAGCTTCAGAGTTGAATGAGAGGCCATGGGTTAGATAAGCCATCTGCATAATTAGAAGGATATGCTATCTGTTGCAGAGAAATAAAAAACCTATGTTTGAGAAACTATCTTAGACCTTTACATGGGTACATTTACCTTTGTAAGAGGTTTTGGTTTAGACTGTATTTATGATTAGTAGTAGCACTTTTTGAGTATGTTAATAAAGTGGTTTATTGAATTCATCCCAGGTATTACTGTGGGAAAAGAGAAAGTGTGTAGCAGAACGATGAGCCTTGTTTTCAGAAGAATGGACTTCAGCTTCTTGAGTGAGCTTGTAGATGCCCATGGGAGACAGCTATGGAAGGTAAAGAGGCCCCAAACAGCTTTTTGATTGTAACGAATAGCCTCTTTCAGGCATGGGAACTGCATGTTTTGAAGTTCACAGACTGAAGGGAGGTGGCAGGAGGTTCACATGGATGAACGGGGAGCTCTGAACTCAGATGCAGAAGGCAGTGGTGCTTAGGTGGTAGTGGCATGGGCTACATGAAAAATAAACATTGATCAGATGGAGTGGGAGGGACAAAATCAGCTGTAACTGAAATTTGTGGTGGATGAGAAGGTGTCGTGGTTTAGGCCTGGTTGGCAGCCAACCACAATGCAGCAGCTCTCTCTCCCTTCTCCTCTGGCAATGAGAAGGGACAGAGAGCCAGGCTTGGAGTTCAAGATAGGACTGGGATGGGGGAAAATTCCCCTTTATGATCACGAGCAAGAGGCAGACTCGTTAGGGGAAGGAAAAATAAGAACATACATTCATTACAGACACTAACAACACATAACAGAGTAGGACAGTGGGAAGCATTGCTACATCTTGAGAACACCTTCCCCCACCCCTCCCTTCTTCCCGGGCTCAGTTCTGCTCCCGATATCTCTACCTCCTCCCCCCAGTAGCGCAGGGGCAGGGAATGGGGGGTACAGTCAGCGCTGCCACTTTCCTTTTCTTCAGTGAGGGGAGTGTCCGGAACTTGTTCCCCCTGCTCCATCGTGGTCCCCCTCTCACAGGAGACAGTCCTCCACAAACTTTCTCCAACATGAATTCCTCCCATGGGCCACAGCGTTTCCTTACACTGCTCCGTCATGGGTCACTAACTTCCTCTGACTGGATTCCCTCCCACGGCTGCAGCCCTTCCTGAGCTGCTCCGGTGTGGGACTCCCCCGCATGCTGCAATCCTCCCAGAACTGAATTACAGCAGGGGCTACCTTTTCCCATGAGACCCCGGCCTTCTTCGGGCACAGAACCTTGAATATTCCGAGTAGAAGTCACAGGCCATAAATCAGTGTCTGTTCCACCGTAGATCTTCATGGGTGGCAGGGGGGGCCGCCCTGCCGTCTCACCACAGGATACAGGAGGGTCTCTGCTCCGGCACACCTCCCCCCTCCTTTCTTCCTCCGTTCCTCCACTGACCTTGGTGTTCACGCAGCTGCAGCAACTCCTCCTCACAAGTCCCACTGCCCGTCACCACGTCCCTTCTTAAATACGTTATCGCAGAGGCGCAGCTGATGGGCTCAGTTTTCCAAACAGCAGTGGAGCTGACTTGGAGCTGGGGGAGCTTTGAGAAGCTTCTCACAGGGGTCCACCCCTATAGCCCCCTCCCCTGCCACCAAAAAACTCCACCACTCACTCAACCCAGGACAGAAGGGCAACAAGAAGAGCTGTTACAGCGGCCTAAGCAGCAAGAGTGGATTAAGGAACATGTTGACCTGATGAAGAATGGGGTGGTGGGCCTACTGACAAAGGAAATCAAAAAGGCTGAGTTACTCAACAGCTTCTTTTGCTCTTCATTTACTGGCAAGGTCTGCTGTCAGGTCTCCTAGATCTGTGTACCCAGAGGCTAAGTTTGGGCCGTTGTAAAGCAAGACTGAGTGAGGGACTTCAGCAGTCTAGATTTACACAGAAGTTCATGGGACTGAGTGGGATGGATGCATCCAGTGCTGCTGAGGGATCTAGTCAGTGTCATTGCGAAGCCTCTCACTGTGATATTCAAAAAGGCATGACAACTGGATGAAGTATGTTATGGCTGGAAGAAGGCAAGTGTCACAGCTATCCTGAAGAAAAATAAGGTGTATTTGGGGAACATCAAATCAGGCAGCCTAATCATAGTCCCTAGGAAAATTGTGGAGCCAGTGTTTCTGGAAGTCATTTTCAGACACATCAGGAAAAGGTGATGGGGAACAGCAAGTACAGATTTACCAGGGCAAGTTGTGCCTGAGCAACGTGATTGACTTGTACAATGATGTGATTATCAGTGTGGGTGTGGGGAGAGTGAAACGTTTGACACAGACTCTTTGTATCCAAAGTGGAGAAACATGCACTGGTTTGGCAGGTTACCAGGTGAGTGGAAAACTGGCATGTCATTCCTCATGGCATTCCTAATATTCAATGTCTTCATCACTCACCTATTAAATGGGGTGGAGTACACCCTTAGGAAATCCACAGATGACACCAAACTGAGGAGGAGAATGACTGATAAGCTGGGGGTCAGGGCTGGTATTAAGAGGCACTTCATCAGGTTGAAGTGGGCTGATGGGGACCTTTTGAAGTTTGACACTCAGGTGTAGAGTCCTACACTCAGAAGGGATCATCAGCCTCATGCAACAGCTATACTGCACACTGGCTGGCTAGAAAGCTGCCTTGCAAAGCAGCATCTGGGAATTTTGGTGGGCAACAAGTTGAACAAAAATCAGCAGCTTGCCCTTGCAGCAATGAAGGCCAAGCCTACCCTGGGCAGCATTAGCAGCAGCTTAATTGAGGGAATTTATTAATACCCTCAGTTCAGCACCTCTGAGATGCCATTTGGAGTTCTGTGTGCAGTTTTGTGCTCACCAGTACAAGAAAGATGCAGACATACTGGAGACAGTCTAGTGGTGGTCCACTGAGATGGAGGCTGGAGCCCTTGATACACAAGCGAAAAACTGTGTTGTTTTGTCTTGATAAAGAGATGACTTGGAGGGACTTCTAGTTTCTGTTTTCAGCTATCTGATGGGTGGTTGTAGAGAAAACACGGCCCTGGAGGTGCAGATGGAAATGGTGAGAAGCAATGACCTGGTGTTGCAGCAGGAGAAATTCTGAAGAGATATTAGAAAAAAGTTATTCACAGTGAGGAAGTTTAAATTCTAGAGCAGATTGTTGAGAGTCTCTGTGGCTTCATTCATGAAGATGGTCAACGCTTGACTAGACAAAGCCCTGAGCAATGTGGATCTGACTTCAAAGTTGGCTTTTGTCTGAGCAGGAAAGTGGACTAGATAGTCTTCCAACATTGTTCTGTGGTTCCTTTAACAGCAGCATAAACATCTTCAAAGAAGATTCAAAATAAAATGATGGAAACAACAGGAAAGCCACAAGGCAAAAAAGCAAGAAGCCAAAATTGCAGAACTGAAATAAAAAGCAGGTGAGGGAGAAGATTCAGTTGTATTTGAAATACTGTAATTTTGAAAGTATAAATTTACATTGATAAGACTTTATGTTTGTATAGAATTTATGACATATCTCATTCCTTTTGTTTTGAGAGTGGGAGAAATGCCATAATAAGCTGATCGTTGTTAGCCACAATTAATTAGAAATCAGTGGCTGGAAACTATTAATCAGAATGTGGAAACATTTCTTATGAACACCAAAGGAGAATAAATTGAACAAAAGAGAATCAGAGCTGTTGTGAAAAGATAGAATTTTCTGTCTTGAAAAATGCATTGTTGTTTCTTGCTGTACAGGACATAAATGGTAAGAGAAGCCTGGATAAAGTCTGCTGCCCCTTTTCCATCCCCTGATGGACTGTAACTGTCTTGGGATGTCTGTCAGTCACTGTTAATCCCAGTGCGAACTCAGACAATAGCACAGTTTTCAACCTTGTTACCTGGAAATCGACGCTCTCATTTTCTCAGCTTATATGTGAAACTACGCTGACACTGATAATGTTGATGGGCTCAGATAGTTAGTAATGGTGACTGGAAAAACAAAAAACAAACCTAAAATGGTACAATTTGTAGTCTGCCTAACTTTTTCATTTCATAAAAGATCTGGGAGTTGTGTGAGCTAGTTTCCATCTCAGATGCTTGCTTGGTTTAAAATGTATGCATAAAATCTACGTGCGTTACCTGGCTTAAAAAGTAAAGCAGAATATAACGTATATGAGTTCTTGTTTACCTTTATGCAGTAGTGTCTGGACTTTTGATTGCTACACAGGAATCCCAACTGACTGCTGTTTGGATAGCAAGAGGCCAGTTCTGCACTGCCTGCCAGATTGCCCGCATTGAAGAGAACCTCAACATTTCTGCTGCCAGTTCAGGTCAAAATTTTTGGCTGGCAAGAGAAGGAAATCTTGAAAGAAAATGTTTAGGTCAGACTCATGTGTTTGAGTTTTAAGATGTTCTGCCTGGCATTCTCATTTTTTTTCCCAGCCTCTGTTATTTTATATAGCTGTATAGATTTCAATAGATTTATCAAAATGGTAGATTTTTAATTGGAAAAAATGAGTGACTGGCTACTTGTGGTTAAAAGAGTAGATTCTTATGTAGTTTTGTTTCACAATTCTTTTATAATAAACTTCTATAAAATATGCATGATGAAGTGTCAGTACATATACTTAATTTGACTTAAAAGACAGAAGGCAGATGAGTTTGATGTTGTATTAATGATATGCTGTCTGGGAGTGGTTATGGCTAAATAAAAATATGTTCTATTAGTATGGGAGTGTGAATCTTCAACCCCCAAACTTCAGGTTGAATCTGAGTCCTGTTGTATCTTTTTGAATATAGAATATTTAGAAAAGCTGGCTCCTAATTTGCTTATATTGAGGAAAAAGAGGAAACAAAGATGTACACACAATGTAAATATACTTGCCAATATTGTAAATTGTGCTGCAAAGATTTACAAAGTTTTTTGGTGAGTTGGTATTATGATGTAATGAAATAGGGAAAATTATTATGTCCTCTGTCACCTGGATTTTTCTGTCTTTTGAACTTCAAATGCAGGAGGCTGCATAGTTTACCTGTATTAACGAATTGAAAAATTACAGTATTTGGTGGGTGCAGGTGTTTAAAACTTTCTTCACTGCCATGGCAGAACTGACCTGTGGCAGTTCCCTAGATAATCCAGACACTTGTGTCCAGCAACTAAAATTCTTGCCTCTGTTCTTGCCCCAAATAAAGTAAGTTTTTGATGGCTAGCACTACATTTTTCTAACTCATTGAGATCATTCTTAACCTTCATACAGTTCCCATTTTGAAGAACACTGGGACAGATTTAAAACCAAAATAACTTTTAATCAGTATTTCACAAGGAAATACTTTATTAGTTGTTTATCTTGAGCTGCTAAAATTTATGAAATGAACTGGATCTGATGTGTGCCAGAGATAAGGTTGTGACAAAATGAGGTAGAAAAAATTAATACATTATAAAAAGTTAATGTAAATGGAACAGTGTGTAACTGAACAAAATAGAATAAAAAAGACGAGGAGAGTCACATCTCATAATTACGTAGTGTAGCAAAAATTTCAAGATGGAAAATGGGATGATGGGAAATGGAGACTGAGAGATGGGAAATTAAATAAATATGGCTTACTGAACTGGACTTGCAGTCTAGATATTAGAGTATTAATGTAAGTATAATTTTTATGTATATTTTATTGAAGTATTTTTCAGATGTTCTTAATGAATGTTTTGCCTTTGAAACTTACACTGGTTTCAGTGGGAACCACATTCAGCTCTCCCTGATCTTCTAAAAATTCCTTATGTGCTGTCTGGCCATACCAGGGCATATTGAAATACAAAGTTCTTGTCTTAATAAAAAACACATTGGTATCAACATCCTGATTCTAGTGTGTGTTCTGTAATTGAAATAATGTGTACTTTGTAAGCAGATGAAAAGAAAAATGCCACACCCGAGTATCCACGGTGGATGTCCTTGTCTCTTTGTTACAAATCAGTATGCTGTCTTTTCAGTGAAAGAATCCTCCTCTAAAACAGCAGGTAAAACTAATGAGCAAATTTTCCAAAATGTACTTCCTGGGCCGGGCCACTTGAGGGCAGCGTAAGACTGTTATAGTCAACCTCTGGTGTTTCAACAGGGACCTTGAGTGTCTTGACTTCTCACCTCACTGACAGAACGTGAATGCTAGTATCAGGTAAAAATAAGTGATTCAGCATTTTAAATGGCTTCTTGCCTAATGCACAATTTCGTTTGTTTGCACAACAGCATGCATCAGTTGAGCATGGTTAATATGGATAGATAGCCTTTTTCAGAGTTTTAGCTTTTAATTAGCTTGATACAGTCTTAAGAGCTGCTGTGTCATAGTTCAGAAAAAAATCTTGCTGGTGTCCTTATGCATCATGCATTGATTGTCCTTGAGAATTTGTCACATGCACTTGTATTTATATGAACTTGATGTCTTCTGGGGGGCCCTCTCCAAGAATTATCAATGCAATTGCTACCAAAATTATACTTAGTTTCATGTTTTGGAGGTGGAATATATAAAAAACTTATCCTTACATCTAATAAATCATCACTGCAGGCACATAAAATAAAAGTGGCTACATAGGACTTTCCTGTAGAAATCTTGCCATTTCTGTCTCATTATTCAGACAAGTACTGGATTATTGCAGTGTATTATTACATTTTTAGGACTATATTCAGAACATTCAGAGGAAGAGAATCATAAAGAAGCTCTGAGTAATAACTAGAAGTAGAATAACAACCACTTAACTGTAGTTTTCTTCTTAACTGTAATTATTTATCAATGTAATCTTTCTTTCAGAAACACCTTGGATTTATGCACAATGTCATAAAAACCCATACTGAATAATGCTGTCAGTCACTTAACATTGATCAAATTTTTTCAAATCACTCTTTAGATGGAGGGTTGCATTTCCATCAGGAGGAGCATTAAAGCATAAAATGAGGGACTGAATGTCACATACCAAGGGTATTCTGAATCTCACTGGCTCTTTTAATGGTTTGTTCCTCCCCCCTTCCCTGTAAGTGGGCTTCTGGTATCTGATTCACTAGCTTCTTCCATATGTTTTGATTTAAACTGCTGGTGGTGCGATGCAAGCCTCAGATCCTTACTGGAGCAAGAACCAATCCTGTGTATTTCATGGGCAAGTACTGCAGTTAATTGAAGGAAGAAATAACTCGACATACAATACCTGCTGAGTAGTGGTGATTGTATGCAAAGGTCTTGGGCTGCAACGATTGAAGAAGAAAAAAGCAAGCTTTAGAAAGCTGCTGTGTGAAAGCAGTTTTGATTTTGAGAGAGAATGAGAAGGTGAAAACAAATAAATGTAGTCTAAAGCGATATTAGGAATATGAATCTAGAACCAGATGAGAGTCAGATTTGACTGGAATTCCTGTTATTTTGCCATATTACTAAGGTTTAGTAACCCTTAAATGAGAAGAGACTATTTTATCCCTTTAAAACTCCCGTTGTCTTGGTGGACTACAGCTTAGAGAAAAAAGACCATATGTTGGCTCTTTGCTTCTAAAGTTACACTATAACTAACTTTTTAAGACCTAAATGATTTTTTTTTTTTTTTTTTTTTTGCTGAACTTTATGGTGTGTGGGCTGGACCTTAACTTCTATGAATGGGGAAAATATCTGCCTGAATACCCAGTGGGGTAGCAGCTTTGTTGTGACTGTTAGTGATGATCACTTGCTACCTACCTACCTACCTGTTGCTAGACAGTGAAGTGTCGGAGCTGTCAGTTTGCTCTTCTCGGTAAGTTTCAAGTTTGCATTGAGATCTGTGAGTGTGGGGCAGCTCGCAAGATGAGCTCCTTGAGTTGTATATTCTTCTAAGCATCTAAGCCTATTTGTTTACCAGAGCATCATGAGTATATGTGGTGCTAAATAAATTATTCCAGATTAAAGGAAAAGAATAATGCAAGAGTGCTATCTTTAAGTTAGCTGCAGCCCTGTGTTTGAATATAAAGCACAATGAGGAAGTGTGTTGTAATTCTGAAGTTGAAAGTTGTAGCAATAAGTAATGAAAACTAATGAAAGATTTTTATTTCAGGCTGCATTGCTTCATCATCTTGTAAATACCCTTCTCAGTCTATAAGAGAAATATATTCTGTTTTCTTTGCTTTTTCCTAGTTGCTCCATATGTGTGTATGTTTGTACATTGCGGTTGTTAAAGCAGCAAAACAGCAACGTAAGACTTATTCACAGAATCATAAACTGGATGAGACTTCTAATACAGCATATCTCATGCCTGGCTTTAGGATGCCGATGATTTGAAAAGGTAAAAATTAAGTAGAGAAGGATATATTTTTGGAATCTTAATACTCATTTCAAAATACCTTGGGAATACTTCTTTCAAGATGTATTTTGTTTTAAGAGTTTAGTTGTTAAAAAAGAAGATGTAGTGAAACCCGATAGGTACAGTTTGGCTCTATAAAATCGGGAATGATTTGTCTTGTGGCTTCCCCTCCCACACTGTGGGAATCTATTGACTCCTTGCAACTTTTTCAGAGATGTGATTTGCAGAGTTCTTCAGGGCTTGCTCTTTGCTTTAAACATGTGTCCTGCACTTAGCAAAGCTCCTGGCAGTTTGAAAGAAAATGCATTGCTTTAAATACCCTAATTCACTGGACAAGACCTTACATTCTCTGTAATGCATATGCTTTCAGAATGTCACAAAGTGGTAGGTGACAAGCAAGGAAAACCTGGGAAATAGGTGAAACTGAAAGGCATTTAATTTTGAGGTGTCATGGCATCTCAGGAAAAATATTTTCCAGTTATCTTTTGTAATCTTTGTAAACCATTAGAAGTTGCTGCTGGTGAAGCTAATGTCTGAGTGTACTTTTATTTCCTACATGTACAAGATTGGTGCAGTAAGAACTAAAGGTGAAATCTTAATTATATTTGGGGGTCAAAGTAAGATCTTACAATTTTAATTTTACGCAGCTGCTTCAAAAATAGCCTATGTCTCTTTACAAAGTAGTGTAGTTAGTAAAATAAGAAGTGTTATAGGGAGGTTTTAGTATTTAATTAAAACATCTGATACGGGAAAGTAACACACCAGCTTTTGTTCTCAGAAACTTTTCATGTTTGCGGTAAAAGCTGTAGAAATGTTTGTACAAGTGTGTTCTACTGTATGATTACTTGCATTAGCAACCTAATCCAGATGATAGCCCACTCAGAGGAGATGCACGACTAGACCTGTTGCTCACTAGCACAGTGGTACTTACTGGAGCAGTCAAGGCTGGTGGTAGCCTGAGCTGCGGTAATAATGCCCTGGCGGAATTCACAGTATCAAAGTATACAGGCCAGGTGAAAAGTATAGTCAAGACCCTAAATCCTAGGGAAGTGAAAATTCACTTATTTAAGGAACTAATGGCTGAGACATCCTGAGAAACTGCCCTTAGGATAAAGGAGCAGAAGAGAGCTGGCACCTACTTAAAGTCACTTTTTTTCTCAGAGCACAAGAACTCTCAATTACCATGTGTAAGAAATCATGGCAAGGAAAACAGGAGACCAACACGACTGAGTAAGGATGTCCTGGTCAAACTGAAACGTGAGGGAAATGCGCAGGCAATGGAAGCAGGGGGACACATCCTGAGAATGTGGGATGCTGCTAGGAGTGGAGAATGGGTTGATGGAAGCTAAGGCACAGCTGGAGCTAAATTTGGCAAGGGATGTGAAGAGTAATAAGGGCTTCTACAAGTATGTTAGTCAGAAAAGGAAGACAAAAGAAATTAATTCCACCCCCTGTAAATGAGATGAGATTGTGTGACAACTGACATGGGGTTGGCTGAGGTATTCAATGACTTCTTTGCCTGAGTTTTCACTGGCAATTGCTCTTCCCACAGCTCTCGAGTCCCTGCATGTCAAGGCAGGGACAAAAAAAATGAAATCCCACCTACTGTGGGAGAAGATCAAGTGCAAGACTGTTTGAGGAAACTGAACATACACAAATCCATAGGACCCAATAAGATGCATCCCAGTGTCCTGAGGGAACTGGCAGATGTAGTTGCTAGTTGAATGGCTTAATGTCCAAATGGAAACAAGTGAAAAGTGGCCCTCAGGGGCCTGTAGTGGGACCAGTACTATTCAATATCTGTCTAACATAGACAGTGGGATTGAGTGCACCCTCTGCAAGTTTGCAGATGACAGCAAGTTGAGTGGTACAGTTGATATGCTAGAGGGAAGGGATGCTATCCAGAAGGCCCTTGATAGGTCCTTAAGAAGTGGGCCAGTGAGAACCTCGTGAAGTTCAAGAAGATGAGGCGCAAGGTCCTGCACATGGGTTGCAGTAACCCAGGTTAGGGTGATCACCAGTATCAGTACAGGTTGGGTGGTGAGTGAATTGAGAGCAGCCCTGCAGAGAAAGACTTGGGGATATTGGTAGATGAAAAATTAGATCTGAGCTAGCACTGTGCACTTGCAGCCCAGAAAGCCAACTGTATCCTGGGCTGCATCAAGAGAAGCATGGCCAGCAGGCTGGGGGAGGTGATTGGCCCCCCCTACTCTGCTCTTGTGTGACCCTACCTGCAGTAGTGCATGCAGATATGGAGTCCCCAACATAAGAAGGACATGGGCCTGTTAGAGTGGGTCCAGAGGAAGGCTGCAGAAATGATCAGAGGGATGGAACACCTCTCCTGTGAGGACAGGCTGAGAGAGTTGGGGAGGAGAAGGCTCCGGGGAGACTTAGTTGCAGCCTTTCAGTATACAAAGGGGACAACTTACTAGAAAGATAAAAACTTTCTGAAGCTGAAAGAGGGTAGATTTAGGTTTAATATAAGGAAGACATTTTTTATGATGAGGGTGGTGAGACACTGGAACAAGCTACCCAAAGAAGTGGATGCT